TATATCATATTTCTGGAATTGGGGGAGTATAAAATCATCAGACATTAAAATTTTCTGCCCACATTAATTTCAATAAATTCAGGGATCCTTTTTCCTGACAGATTCAGTGCATGAAGCAGAACAAGTAGTCGTGCCTGTTCCTTTGATCCCCATGGAAATATATCACCTGACAGCTGCACGTGCCTTTTGAATTTCATCCGTCTCCAAAGCTCAACAGTGTCCTTTTAATTTAACAAACACACACAAACGGTTAGCTAGATGTCAATACACATGTCGATAAGAAAAGGGGAGAAAAGGGCTGACAGTCATTTTTTTGACTGTGAAGTTAAAATCCAGTTTATGTCTGCATAACAGCTGAATCCCTCTTGGAAATGTTCCCGATTAGTCTGGGGCGACCATGGAATATGAATCAGTGAAGGATAATGATCGCCCTGATTGAAGCAAGATACATCTAATCAGCATTAAAGCTAAGCATTGGGAACATTTATCCCACTGTAGTAAGTTTCATCACGGCTCAAACTGCATTTCAGACATCAGTATAATTTTGTATAAACCCTGTTTTTCGATCTATAATGGCGTCCATTATGCTTCTCTACCTCCCTTTGCCCTTCTAGGTCCTTCTTTTCATGCAGATATTTTTCTTCACTATAATGATTTGGTTATTTTTTTGATCTACTCAAGAATCTAAAACATATATTATTGCTTAAAGCTTATAAATGTATTAGCCTCTTTTAGAGGATTGTAGTAACTAGCCCATCAATATTTTCTTTTAATAAATTAGAATTTAGCAAATTTTTATTTATTATGACTTTTAAAGTTTTTGGGTGTTTGAATTACTATTGTGAATCTATAATTTTTTTATCATGTTATCATTTTCTTTAATGGGAGGATATGTAAACTTTCAAGCATGACTTTAAAAGAAATATACTTTTAGGAGTTTACTCTTAAAGCTACTGTTACTTGAGTACAATTTCAGGTTACTTCAGTAACATTTCTGGTTACCAGGTGGTTATCTGAGATTAGATAGACATACAGATATTTTAGTAGTTTTTTTTTTTTTATCCTTTCCTGACATATATGCATTACCTATTGTAAAGATTAATTAAGTTTATGTTGAAAAAATTATTTTGCCAAATTTTATTTCAGTACTTGCAGCCATTTTGACAAATACCTTTTCCCTGTACTTTGAGTAATTCCTTTCCTGAGTACTTTTAACTTTTTAAGTAGTGCTATTTAAACTTTAAAGATTTTGGGTACTCTACCCACTCCTGCTTCTTCTGCTTCTCTGATGGACTGTATGTAAAAATAATATTCTGACATAAATGCAGGGGGCGACTCATCCAATTAAAGAAGGAAAAATAGCTTTACTCTTTCAGTCAAACATTTCTTTCAAGCTGTTCCCAGTTTCAGTAACTTGTTTTTGTTTCTCTTCAGATGATAAAGTGGGAGAATTTACTATTTTAGTCCTATTATGAGTAAACTTAGTACACATGATGTTCTGCTTGTTCAAGTTCAGTTTAAAAAAGGTTCAGGTGAAGTTACTAATTAATTACCTCTTTATCTACTGCTATTCCATCCCATCCTACAGCCTTTTCCATCACTGTTTCTCTAGGGTTTGGTGTTGTTCAGTCATGAAGCTTAATAAGAACATGAAAATGCTAAAATCTCAGTTATTTAGCTGTTTATTTTTCTATGAGGATGTAAATTTGTATCATATTTCCATCAATGTTTTATCTTTGTTTTGATTAGTTTACCCTTTTTTTTGTACAAAATACTAAAATATAGTCCCCGATCATAACACAACTTGAAGAAACCTTCAGCTGGAATCTTTCATAACAAAACCAACAATTATGAAACAGTCACATAAAAGCTAAAAAAATGAGCCGGAAAATTTGGAATGACAGATTTTCTAATTATTCCTAAAACCAGCAAAGCTCAAAATATACAAAATCATGAAGAAGAACTTATTTTAGAAACAAGCCTACAAACTGGTTGAAGAGAATTAAATTAAAACAGCGGTCCACAAGCGGACATTTTGTAACTATATAATAAAGTGGGATGTTTTTGTACTGATCAAGTAACACAGGAGATCTCTGTAAATATCTGCCAGCAGGAGGCTGCTTCTAATTATTTAGGATGGATCCTCGGTCATAATCTGTCAGATTTGGACTAAATGGAGGTTCAGTTTTGAATTGAAAAATCTTCTTGGATGGGAAGCGAAACGTCTCGTCTTCAAACTTGGAAACAAAGTCCAGTGGATTGTTTTTTATTTTCCTTTTTTGGAAGAGGTTCAAGAGGGCCTCTTTCTGTCTTTGGTCAGATCTTGGTTTAGGTAAACCAAGTTCAGAAGAAAGGCTAGAAGCCTTTCCACAGATCTGTCTACCCCAGCTGTGTACTGTTTGTCCCGCTTCCATCAGGGAAACGGCTCAGGAACATAAAAAAATAAAATGATGTCTGACCCAAAGCCGTGAAAGCATTCTTCCTCCTGCAAGCAGACACTTATAACCCTGGAAGAAAATCAAATTAACCTCCAGCCCCTTTCATAGATTGTTTTCAGGATAAACTGCACTTCCTGTTTCCATGTTTTCACTTCTGTGAGAGTCTCCTTTAAAGATGCTGCTTTGGTTTTCTTTGTTTTAAATTCTGTATTATTATGTATTTTAAGATGGTGGCAAAATCAAAGCAAAGATTCTTCTTTTTTTCTTAAAGCCAGCTAGCTTAAAACAATCAATGGTGACAGGGCGTGTTGAAAAAAAAACAAAACTAAATGTTTACAGCTAAACATGCATGAGATCAGAGCAATATTATAACCGTTTAGCTCTTAATTTCAACCTTCCTGAATTCATTTTGGCTCTTTAAGAATCCTGGCCCCATATCACAAACCATGGTATTTTGTCCCTTCCTTTTTCCCCTCACAATCAGCATTGTAAACAACCAACCTAGATTTGGTTGATTGTACTACTTTACAGTTAAAAAAAAGACAATTTTTTTCTGACCAATTATCTTTGAACTATTTTTTTTAACATTCTAATTGAGATTTTTTTTCCGTGCCCTGTGCTCTCTTAAATTTGATGTGTGACAACCAAGTCCATCAACAATTTCCCCTACTTTTAGATCTAATATGGAGATAAATTGTCATAATTCACATCTATAAATAAATTTTGTTCTATAGTACTAGGTATAACATAATTTTAACACTCTATTCCCCATTAATTTGCTTCTGATCCAAGATAAAAACAAAAAAACAAAAATTATTTTGTGACTCTCTGCCTAGTGATTAAGGCAGGGAGTTCTGAGTTCGAGTCCCACTCCCACAGACAGCCACTCTGGCTCTCTGAGCAAAGACCCTTAACCCCACACTGCTCACTGGGCGCCACACAATGGCAGCCCACTGCTCCCCAAGGGGATGGGTTAAATGCAGAGAGTTAATTTCGGTACTCTGTACTTGTACAGTGAAATGACAATAAAGGCTGGAAAAACAATCGACATTATTCACCATATTTCCTTAACAACTGAAGGCTGTTTAACTAGAAAAAAAAAACCCTGCTGACTTTTTTTGTGGCTTTTTTGACCTCTAAGAACTTCAGCGTAATTTCAGGGACAAAAACCCTTCAACTTTTAAAAAAATGTTCTAAACCCTTTCTCTATCACCATTTAAGTCAGCTTTAAGATATTTTTACCCAATCGTGATTCAAGTTTTATTCAAATATTTTCAGGTTTACAATTTCTCAATGTAATCCAATGAAGCAATGGGCTCTATGAACAACTCCACTACCCCCTGAACTTTGCTGACCTCCTTAGTTTTCTGTCTTTCATGTGTGTCTATCGCCTTTGTCATCGTGGTTACTGAGGTCAGGCACACCTGGATTAATCACTTGATCCAGTGATGAAAAAGAGAAAGAAAGGAGCTGCCTGAAGTTCTGAAAGTACTGGAGTTGTGCATAAAGTCGATTTTTACAACTAGCACAGTGAACAGTCTAGTTTATTAAATTCATTCCAGTTCTCCCAACAAATGCTTCTGACTTTTTCAAATTTTACTCAATTTACATACATTAAATGATGCATAGAAATGTAGGAATTTTTGTCTGGATTCAAAAAAATCTAATTGTGGTTAATGCGGGATTAACAGAATTTAGGCAAATTAACGTAAACCACAGAGAAGTCTACATTAATTGTCATTGCTTTCTGATTTTTACTTTTCAGAAAGGAAAAAAAAAGGATCTTGGTTGGTATGAAACATCTCACAGCACATGGCATCATTTTCTATTCAGAAAAATAGGTTAGGAATCGACCAAAATACTAAAAGTACCTAAACAAAAGAACAAAAGGAAGTAGGACGGGATAGAACGGCAATCCATCAGAGAAAAAAATTAACTTGAAACCTCAATCAAACAAATATTAAAGGCACACCGTGTAACTTTTGGCCACTAGGGGCGCTAGACCTGTAACTGCCTGCATTTAGCTTCTACTAAACATCGAAAATAATAAAGATACATGACTGTATACTAGGAGCAAAGTGTTGACTTAATGGTCTCATAATAAAGTTGAGTAAAGAGAATCGGTTTTACATCCGGCGGCTTCTTTCAGTCTGCGCCAACCAACAAACTCCTTTCAAAGATCAACACTTATTTTTCCTCGTACACAATCCTTTTCACTTTTTCACCTCCTCAGAAGGTTTGAACTTTTTCCTTGCCTAAGCCATGACCAGTAGTCGAACAGGTGGAAAAAAAGTAGAGCAAAAGGCTTAGCTCCATGACGATATAAGAGCCTGTGGCCATAAAGCCATACCTTGACCTGGCCAATGACGGTGCATCATCTCACATAGTCGGTGTTTCAAGAGAGGAGATGCTCGAAGCACTGATGGTGTCAAGCACTGTTTATTATCTTAAGCCCATGGTGTGCCTTTAACTTTGATGCTAATGCTAAAATATCTGCCATCAGATTAACCTCTGTAGCTTCCCAGTGTTGGTCATTCATTGAAGAATTCCTATTTTTTTGTCTGTTTTTGAGGAAAAATGCTACGGTGAAATAAAACAGTTTAAAAGGAAAAAACAAATTGCTCACGCACAACTACTTCTTTTGTTGATACTGTTATTCTGGTTCAGGCTCCAACCTTCTATCCCAGAAAATAAAATACATTTAAAACAACGGTATTGCACATGTGTGCTTTCTATCTACAGACAGAGCAAAAATTAAATAAATAACTTTTATGTCCCCCATCGTCCAAAAAAACCCATAAATCTGTGATACCAAGAAGGTGGATTTTACCAGCATAGGTGAGCACACTTTGAATAATAAAGAAAATTCATGTGTTAATGTTCAGCATCTTTTTCTCCATTTGTTTTATATGTACAGTGGCCATGTGAAGTATCTTAAGTAAATATGCACTCGATTCAAAGTAACTTCACTATCACCATGAACCTTGAATATATAAATGTACATACACATTTACAAAAGCTGGGCTTTTCAAAAGTGCTGCAGACGGTGTAGAAAACGGGCGGAGAAAGAGGATCACGCTGCGATCCAGGACTGCAAAAGTTCGTGTACACAGTTGCTGGAGGTATTTGGTTCATCTCTTCCACAGTCCGTCTAATGCAGGGTTCTAATTAGACGGAACCATGTCCTTTATAACAGGTTCTCTGTTTAGGTAGGTGGCCCAGTAGACCAGGTTGAACGTCCCAAAGAGAACGGGGAACATAATCCGTGACAACCTGTCAATCTTGCTGACGCTGTTGAACGTCTTCTTGGCTTCTGGGGCCTTGCCGTCCGCTCTTGGCTTACCGGGGTCCACGGCGCCCCCTTTGGCGATGCTTGGGAGAGCGGTGGAGTCCTTGCTGACATTAGGGGCGTAGTTGGCCACCGCTACTGCGTAGGCGTTATTCTTCTTCATCAAAGATGCCCTCTCTTTCTTCTGTTAAGAGACAAAAGAGATTGGTTACAAGAAACCTAACTCATCACCTGGACCAATCCCTAATTTAGGGCTGCACCTATTAATTATTTTACGGTAAATGGTAAATGGCCTGTACTTATTTAGCGCTTTTTCAGCTCAGGAGATTTGACCAAAGTGCTTTACTCTACATTCACCCATTCACGCACACACTCACACAAGACTTTAAAATCTCTGCCATTTGGAAAATCTAGAGCTGTCGTAGTCTGGTAAATTTCTGTTAAATAAGAAAACGATAAATATTAGTTAGTTTTTAACCTGTAACTGTGAGTCGTACACTGAGGAGCTGAGAGGAATTGCTTTATTTTTAACTAGTAAAGAGGAACATAACATTTAAACACAATGTTGTGTCAAACTTATTGCATTATAATACTAACCTAAGTGGCACAAACACTTTTTTTTACTTTAATTATTTATGTTTTTAACCAACCTGTGTCATAATTCTTTCTTTTTTTTTTTAGTTTGTTGCGGTACTTGTTAGGACTCCTGTCTGTGTGGTTTGTGTTTTGTGTGTTTGTCTTCCTTCCTCCACCAGGCGGTGCCTGTTCCTGGTTCGCCTCCTCACACACCTTCGGAGGGTTACCTCGTTAACGGAGTGCTCTTAAGCTGCTGACTGCCACTACCTCGACACCAGAGTGTTTGCCAGTTTTGGGTACTCTAGCCAAGCTGAGTTCTGCTGAGTCAAACTGAGTTTTTGTCTACCTAAGTTTTAACCTTGTTCTTTTGTCTTTGCCTCTCGACAGGAAGTCATCATGCAACTGGATGTTTCGGACCTTCTCTCCCTGGAAAGATCTTCTGAGAATCAAGCTGAGCTGAGGATAAAAGGGTGTGATTCTGATCAACCCGTTTCCCCAAGGAATGTCTGGGGCTTCTCTCTGAGCAGGGGATTCATCTCCACAACAACCCGTTCAAGTACCGCAGGAAATCTAAGTGGCAGTCAGTTTCTCCGTTCCCCTACAAACAACCGCATTCTGGGTAAACCCTGTCCGCCTTCCATCGAATGAGACAAACACTGGAACACCCCCACACCGACTGGAGTCAAAGAGTCAACCATTTTCTTGAAACGTAAGTCTGCAATCTATTTCTCCTCTTCAAGTTCGAGAATCAAATTTACCACTGAGCCTGAACTAACCGCAGTGTCTTCCCCTCACTTTCCAGTTCTGGTTGAGCAGTATTCAAAGCAAACTGGATTCACCACAATCTTCTCAATAAACCTGTTAAACTTTCCCCTGGTCTCTCTGTAATAGTTTACTGCATGTGGGTCCGAGCTCTTGATAAAACCATGACAGTACTAATGGCTTGTTTTTTTTTTTCTTTTCTTTTTTTTTTTTACAGTAGGCTGACAGGAAAGGGGGTATGATAGAGGAGGAGAGACATGTGGCAAAGGACCTCGGGTCGGATTTCGAACCCGGGTTGGCCGCGTCGAGGACTAAGTTCTGCTCGCTAAATTAAATGAGCGGAAAGGGGAACAAGTATATAAATTATTGGCGGGTACATGTTCACAACAGTCCTTCAGAAAGTTACGCCTATGATGAAAGCTTATGTTTAAGACCACCTCCTCTGTTGAGAGATGGGTTTTTCAGGTTAACAAAGATGGCTTCCTTAACGCATCACTCAAACCAACGCTTTTCATGGCTTTTCAGTTTCTAATCTTTTTTTTTTCTTTTAATTTTCTATTTCTTTCTATTTAAACATTTTTTAAACTGCTTAAAAAATGTCTTTGAACAAACTTTATGGCCTCAAGAGGCTCTAGCACATTATTCAGGGTCAAATAGGACTAGATCAGTGGTTTGTTAATTCAATTAAATTGAATTGAGTTTATTTACGGCATATATATATTTACACATGCTGAAGCCAGACTCATTCTATGTGAACAGATGCTTTGATTATAGTCTGGATGGATGCATATGAACTCCATTCTGCTTTTAACCCACCAGTGATAGCCTCTAAGGGTGAGACCTATAGGCTCACCCCTTAAAGTTCTGGTCCTCACTGGTTTCTACAGCTGAAAAAAGGCTGATTTTTATCAAGTACCAGTGGGTGTTTAGCCCTACCCAAAGGGAGGTAGGGATAAACACGCAGAATGTTTTTAGAAAGCAGCATAAACACTCTTATAGATGGCCAAAAAAACTTTCTTTGTTTGCATAAATTAGTATTTAGTAGTAACAAATTAATATTTTGTGTGCACAACTTAGTATTTCATGCACATGTTGTACATGCTTTTTGCCTATGTCAATTCCCAGGCTGTGTAATTTATAGCTATACAGGAACAGAGTATCTTCTTAAAAAGTCTGTCCTGCATTTAATTAGGGTATTGTAATGGAAGTCTTTTTGCATGGGCGGAGCTAAGGGGTGGCCAAGGGTGTTTTCAATTTCTTTTCTTCGGCCAGCCCTGTGTTCAACCCTACTCAGCCATTTGTAGTTTCCATGTAAGCCTTCGCCATAACAAGCAGTTCCCATATAAACCAGATGGTGGCAGCAGTGACACTTTGACATTTTTATTAACAATAAACTGATTATGCAAATACCGTAAATAATTATTCACATCAACATACTAACATTAAAGATGGCAAAAACAGAAATCAGGCTCTTTTCAGAAGCAGATTTTATATTTTTCTGTCTCTCTAGTTATCTAGGATTCATCTCTGTAATTAGAGCTAAGAACAACTTCTGACCTCATTTGATGTGTATATTATTCAGAACCCTAAATTATTTATTTAGACTGCATAGATGTGCTAACAGGTCAGATTTAATAGAAAATACTTGGTGAAAATATATGTATTTAGTTTATTTTCACAGTGTGATTCATGTATTTTGCTGGTTTTATGTCATCAGATGCCTTTAAAAATCTAGAACATTGTTTTTTTTTTTTTTTGATAAGTAATGAAAATTATCAAGATTTATTTTAGGGAAAATGTGAAATAGGCATTTTTGTATGTACCACATTTCTTTTGATATCCAGTTTTGCAGCTAAGCATTCCTGGAGCACAGCGTGCAGAAGCAAGCGCTTGGTTCACCTAACTTCCTGCACAGGGTGCTAAATGACTTGCCATCTCGCCTTGTCTACTCCAAACATTATTAATAAATGTTTCATTAAATCTACAGTGTGTTATTTTCAACAAAATCTTTTAACTTAAGACTGTAACTCTCTCTACAGCCTCAAATTCACACTTACAATAAACAAATAGTTTTGAAACAACACCTTCATAATTATCTAAAAACTAATTTGTCCTCTCTGTGCTGCCATAGCGCAAAGATATCTGCTTCCATAAATGCAAGACCCGCTCCATAATTATTCCATTATTTATAATACTTTCAGTTTTTAGATGATTGTAAATAACATATTTATGTTTATTACATTTATATAATATATATAATTTATGTTTTCAAACTGTATTGTGAAGTACTTTGAGGCTTTGGTCTTTGATAGGTGCTATATAAATAAACCTTATTTACTTACTAAATACTAATATAAGAATATCTTGAAGTAAATACATGAATCTTATCAAATAAATCAATTCAGATAAAAATAAATAATAAATATATAGAAATCTCTCATATACATACATCTACATGTATTTACATACATATGAATTCATATATATATGTATCTATATATATGTATCTTAAATAAGTAAAGTTAAAGTAAAATCTTTAAGCAAATAAAGCTAAATAGGCTAAACATGCATTTTTAATAAATACATTTTGTTATGTTTAATGTGAAACTTTATTTATTTTATTGAATATTTATTAATAATTTATTTAGAGCAGTATGTTTTTATTAGTTAAATTTTTTATTAAATAAATAAATACTGCAGGAAATGTCTCTGAAGCCTCAATCTGCAGCAGTTTTTGAAAATGCAGGGTGTCATAACACAGGATTTCTTCTCCATTACCTTCTCACTCACTACACTCTTCCCATCCCAGGCCCAGCCTCGCTTTGTGAAGTAATTGACTGTTGCGAACTCAATCAGAGCGGAGAACACGAAGGCGTAACAGACAGCGATGAACCAGTCCATGGCGGTGGCGTAGGCAACCTTAGGCAGGGAGTTCCTGGCGCTGATGCTCAGAGTAGTCATCGTTAGAACGGTGGTCACGCCTGGAAAATGAGAATGGGATGTTTTATGATCCACCTTTGATCACATTATTAGAGTGCTGTCCATGAAGCCAGGCACTCTCTCATATATTGCATTTATGTCCTCTTACCCTCTATAAGCGCTTTGGAGAATAAATATCCACTATTACTGGTCCTCTCCTTAATGTTCCCCCTAAAGATAGATCTTATGACCCCTTAGCCCACTAACATGACTTTAAGCTGACTGATCAGTCCATTAACAGCTGGTTGACTCTAAAAGCCACAAGGTCTCCTATATCCCACTTCCTTACACTGTAATAGCTTTGAGATTGAACCATCATAACATTGGTGCTGCGTTATATTCATCTAACGAGGGTTTAGAACATGAAGTAGTGCTTTACTTACCAAACACAGTCCTAGCAGGCACTGATTCTCTGTTTAGCCAGAAGGACACCTGGGAAAGGATGACTGTCATGATGCATGGGAGGTACGTTTGAATGACAAAGTAGCCAATCTTCCTCTTTAGGTGGAAATGAGCTGTCATCACTGTGTATTCACCTGCAAAAAAAGGAAGGACAATGTTGAGAACAATCCATAAAAACACCCACACTCATTCATTATAGCTTCACTCAGTTTGGATTTAAGATAATTCTTTTAATTAATTATGTTGATGTATGTTGTCAAATTGTTGGATGATTTCAGCGTTTCTGCAGGTTAATTCCTCTAATGAAACATCCTTTTGCCTGGAAATGAAGATGCATTTGCCAAAGCTGTAAACAATATATTTATTGACCAATTATTGTCATGGTTTTGGTTCTGTTCAAGTTTTGTCTCTGAGTTTTCATTGGTCTTATTTCGAATTTTTGTGTTCTAGTTATTTTTGATTGTATTTGCGTTCTTCGATATACATTGTTTGCCCTCTTCTGTCAGTCTCCTTTTCCATAACTCCCTTCTTGCCTCCTCTGTTCACACCTGCTCCCAATCTGCTAATTAGCCTGGTCTTTGTTTCTCTCTCCCATATATTCTCCTCCTGTTCAGTCACTCTTTGCTGATTTGTCGTAATTTTTTTGCTCCCTACTTGTGAGTATTCCTGGTTCTCAGTTTTTGTGGATTTTGTGGATTTACGTTTTGGATTTTTGCTTCTGTTCAACTTTTGCTTAATTAAATCTTCAAGAAATCCAGAATCTTTCATGGTAGTCTGAACAACACAGATCTGATTTTTTCCAATCCGACCCAGGCCACTTGGCTATGTGGTCCTGAATCCGATAAGAATCTGATCTTTTCAAATGCAACCTGTGTGTGAACGGCCAGGTCGGATTCATCCGTCTTGCTATGCAGAAGCGGCAAGAAAAACAACAACCATGGCAGATGATGATGCGGAGAGCAGTATTTATGTTTAACCACAATGAAAAGATTGAGTTTTTATGGTTGGAAAAGACCGCAAGATGCACGCCGGCACTACCATCAATGTTTCCTTCCGGAGAGAAAGAGCATGCTGGCCTGTGACGTCATTACGTCCTCTACTGCGCATGTGGGACACTTGCGTTGTATGACTGCAGTTCACACAGGAGATCACATACAAGTCGCATACTGTACATATTTGGAAATGTGAACGCCAACGTACAAAAAACCGGATTTCGCAAAAAAAATTGGAATTGAGTATCAAGGCCTGCAGTGTGAACGTAGCCTGAGTCTGCATTTGGGTCCTCCTGTCAAACCCCAAACCCACCCCACCATGCCAGTTGTCATCTGAATATTGTAGCTTTAAATAAGGGAAGCAACATAAAAAATAGATAAATAAATAAAAAAGGCACTGGTGTCTGGAATTGCACTGCAAAAACAATCGAGGCATAAGTAAATATTCTTAAATTAAGTATATCTACCCTTAATTTGAGTAGGTAAATAAGATGATTTGCCAATGGAAGGAGTATGTTGTTAAACCTAAAATAAGATAATTAGATAATATGCACTAGAAATAAGAATATGCAGTTGTTTTTTCTTATTTTAAATGTATAGGGTCTTGTTGCACTGGCAAAGCGTCTCACTTATCTCCTAAATTTCAGAAAAAAATCACTTATTTTAAGAAAAGATGACTTATTTAAATCAAAATTTTTGGAAGTTGGAAGCTCAAAAATCCAAGAATTTTGTAAACAATGAATGCACCAAATATAACCACTAAGACAACAATAAACCACCACACATACACAAAAAACAAACTGACAAACAAAAACAAGCAAAAACCTACACGTCAGACAGGAAATGCGAAATACGGACATGTTCATCTAAATAACTTAAATAGACATATCCACAGCCAACTTCTGCAGATAATTCAAGCTCAGTATGTCCATTTTAAGCGTTGGAGCCTGGAATAAATGAGATATCAAACTTGTTAACATACTCAAGGAATGGTCCCCATAGATTCATAAACATTCCACTTGTACTGGTCATTGACAGTCTGATTTTGTTGTTTTTTTCAGTTTGAGATAGGGTTGCCAACTGTCCTTTGAAAAATTGAATCGTTCTGTATTTAGAAGTAAAAGTACCTGTCCCGTATTAAGTGGAAAATGAATGCACTTTGTCCCATATTACTGAGAGAGTAAAAAAAATATTCAGTAAAAAGCCAATGGAAAATGAAGAACAAGGGCACGTTAAACTTAAGGTAAACTTTTTCCTGTGCCCTGTCCTGCATTGTGACCAATGTGCTGATAACATATATGTAACAATCCAGAATCCCCTCATCCCATTGGTCGAGCCAAGTGTTGCTCACGGAGAAGATAGCGGGAGGCAACAGAGCAGTACGGAGGACGAACTGAGTAATTTAAATGCTGCTTTTAGGGGTGGTGCACCTTTGCATAGCGATGCTACTTCATCGGGGGAAAAAAGGATGCAGAAATATAGGGAGGAATGAAAAAACAAATACTTGGGAGGAAAAAGTCTGCGATAATTAATATAAAGCACACTGCAAATATGCATCTAATTCAAAGCAGATTTGAGTCAAATAGTTTAAAAAAAATCATTTTACACACAAAGGGGGGCTAGAAAGAAAATCACCACACCAGGAGAGGTAAAGGCAATCGGGTCAGCTGGCACGCACATGAGGTGTCCCTTATTTTTTTCATGAAGTTGGCTACCCTAGTTTGAGGATGTCTCTAATGTAACAGGTGTGTGAAGGTGAGCCGATTAAGGTATCTGCATGGTGTGATTAAAACTGACCGGTGTCCTTCTGGTTTATCCCACTTTCTGAAACAGGGCCCAGAAACAGTGCAGCAACCAAACTAATGCTAACCTTTGGTTAGCAACATGGCCTCTTATGCTACGTTCAGACCGGATGCAGCAAAAGCAGCAAAATCGCGTCTGCTGCTTCATTTTTGCTGCTTGTACCAGTTAGTTCTGACGCGCGGCTGAAGCAGCTTTGCTGCTCTGGCTGCGCGGTGCAAAAGTGTGTCTGACGCGCGTTGGGCATGGCTACTCTATCCTTTCTCTGCCTTGCAGCTATATTTGCTGTGATCAGTGGGAATAAAGTAGTTTTAATATGTTTTTAAGAGAGAAAATCCACCTGAAAACTTCATCAGTGCAGTCAGTTCATCCAGATTACAATCCTGCCTCCAAATGTTATTTCTGTCGGAGCCGCTCAGACTCCCACATACCGGCGGTGCGCCGACAGAAGAAATCCCTTCAACAGCAGCCTCTGGGCCGGGTCGCCTCCTCGCGGTTCACCGCGGCAGCTGGTAGGTGTTTTTCATCTAAATAATCCAAACTGCAGGCAGCAGGATAATAAAAGCGAACATATTCTGCCGGCAGATTTCTGCATTTTAAGTTAATTATGCGTTAATAAACTGTTTAAGAGGAGTGATCAGAGCGGTCTGTGTCATCAGCGCTGTGTCTCTCTCCCAGCCAGCTCCCAGATCAGCTTCTCTGATTGGTTGACGCGGCGCGTCGAGCAGCAAAAATTAAATTTTTCCATCTCGAGCAGTTTGCGGCGCGTCACGCGCGTCAGATGCTTAAACGCGCCCGACGCGCTGCTTCAGCTGCTCAGACGCGCTGCGCCTGCTGCTCAAAACGCGCTGCGGGACCTTTTGCTGCGCCTTGACGCGCGTCAACCATTGACTTTGCATGTAAACTCGCTGCTTCTGTCGCGCCAGCTGCGTCCGGTGGGAACGCAGCATTAGCCCCTTTGCTTTATCTTTTTATTTTTTATGAGCTACTAAATATTTTCTATAATGTTTTTCTTTGTTGATTTTTTCTCTTTTTTCTCTTCCTGTCAAACTGTTTCTCTCACCTCTTAATTCTTCTTCCCTTTCCCTTTATCCATCTCCCTTTTTGTCTCAGAGTCTGTTGCATATAAAAGACCCTTTGCTCGACCAATATTCCCCCTCATTTTGCTTTTTTTGGTGTGCTATGGGTTTAATCTGAGAAATGTAATGCAGAGAAGAAGCCTGGCTCAGCTCTATCACAGAGCTACTTGGGTTTGGCGACACCTGAGCTCTATGTCACCTGACATCGACCTCCTTTTCCTGTTGGTGCAGAATCCTTTCACGCCGATGTTTGCATCATAACCAGAAGTACATTTTTATACATTTTAGAACAATCAAAATCAATAAAGTAATTATTTACTGTATGAATTGTATTTCTTTTCGTCAGTAAAATATATACTTTTAATCTGCACCGTTCAAGATGTTCTGTGAATGTATTCTGTATTATGTTAGAAGAATTAGTGATGACAAAAGTTGCAGCTATGACCTTTATAGGTAGGCAGTGTGTTTTCCAAGCAGCAAAGCTGCATATCTGACATAAGCATGAAGCTGTGTCAGAGCGGCACTAACAGGCAGGCTCTCCAAATGGAAGAGATCTCAAAGACAAGCTAGGATTAGACACAAGGAGGAAAAGATGTGTTGCCCCTGGAAACAGAACAAACATAATGATTTCAAAACGAGGGCCTAGATACAGCCCTCTATTTGGCACCAAGAAAGTCCTTTGCAGACATGGAAGATGGGGGGAGGGGATGCCATCTCCATGGAATAATCCTAGAGGATTTGTTTTCCTGTTCACTCTTCTCTGTAACATAAAACAGTTGAATTTCTTGAATTCATAGCTGGTATTTTTGATCTGAATCTCTCTCCATAGCCATTCCACAACCACATAAACTCTCAGTACCCAATGGGGCTCTACATCTTGTGTAATTTCATTTGGATGCCATTTCTCATGCCTCAGTTATGGATGGGGGGAGGTGTGTGAACTATATACTGGACGAGGCAGAAATTTCTTCACAGCAGGCTATGATGCCTTCACCCAGAGGGAAAATAAAGATTCTATCACACAGATAATCACATCGGCATTCCTACAGCAGAGGAAAAAGCATGGATCCGTGATCAGTCATTGGAAGTATCTCATTTAGGAACCACTTACCAGAAGGGAAGGTTTATGGTGCTTTATGATCCAATAATGCTAAAGATTTCAATCATAAAATTTGCATAGCTTAAAAGGTTTTTAACAGATGCCAGATCAGGTAATTGGAGGGGTTTCAGCTAAAGTATATGGACCATCGCTTAACACAATAT